GAGTAAATTATTCAATGAGACTACCAATGAAAATAGACTTTTGCCCCGCTGAACGCCTGAACCGTACAGGACATTTTACACATTGTTAGCGTACTTAGGTGAGTGAATTCGGCAAATTAGTTTTAAAAACGTTAAATTACTTGCCATGCAGACCAAGTGAAAGTTTGTTAATAAGGTGTCAACAATTTTTATTAGTTGAATAAATTGCTCTAGCATGAAATGTCATTCATTTCCCGTCCTCATCGCCTCTGGCCTGCGGATCAGACTGAGGGCGGGAGATGGCTGACGTTTCAGGCTAAAGATGCTGCTCTTTTTCTTGCAGCTGTGTAAACGAAAGTGACTTATATATAAAATTATCCGATATTAAAAAATCAGTCCAAGAAACAAATAAACAAACAAAAGCAGACAGGAAAATCAGTCTGGAATGTTTCGTCCGCTGTTGCTTTGAACTGTTGTCGGCCAAACAAGTTAAAAAAAAACCTCCCGCAGTGTCTTATGTAAATCAGTTATTCTCTTATGGTATATAGTTAACAATTGTCCACGAGCGCGCGTTGGATATGAGATGTTATAATACAGATAGGACCCTGCGCGCGCTCTGATTGGTCAAAATCCCATGTTTTATCACAGTTTAGAAAACAGCCCTAAGAAAATACGCGCGCTGATTGGTTTAAAATCGTTTTCTATAACTCGATAGAATCACAGAACTAGCACGAGCTGCTGACGTAATGATGGCGCGAGCGAAGAGAATTTACATTTTGATAATCAAAGTTAACGAGTTGTTTTCTTTTTTTCGTCGTTGTGTTTTCTAAAAGAAATAGAAAACATGTTCTCCGTGTTTCTATCGAGTTATAGAAATACTCGTGAAAGTTTGGGAGAACTCGGAAAAGCTGTGGAAACACTCGCTTGCGACTCGTGTTCCCACAGCATTTCCCGTTCTCCCAAACTTTCACTCGTGTCTCTATAACTCGCTAGAAACACGGAACATGTTTTCTATTTCTTAAATAAAACATAGAAAAAGCGTGTTTTATTGTTTATCGCCGCATTACCTCTATATCATAAAGCAAACGCAGAAGCCTAAGCCGTGTATTACACTGTGATAAAACACTCCAGACATTTGAGGACACTCGAGAAACGTAGAAAACACTCGTCTGCTGCTCTTGTTATTCTACATTTCCCTCGTGTTCTCAGATGCCCGTCGTGTTTTAGCACAGTGTAATACACGGCTTAGGCTTCTTTATTTGTTAAATAGATAGCCAACGGGGCACGTGAAATATTTTGTTTCATTGAAAACGCCCCAAAAATATAGAAAACTAATATGAAATGAAAATAAAAACGTCCTCCGCCCCCAAATTTTACGCCTACCATATTTGCAGGGCATGATATAATTGCTTACAAACCATGGTGGCAAAGCCAATGAAAACTCTTGAATTGTATTATCCATCGATCAAGTTTTTAATAATAAGGTTTAGTTAGAGACTTACCAATGATCTTTTCGGGATGGAAAGCAATATTAGATTAGTGAAAATCTTGGTCCAAAAATCCAGGCAATCAAAACTCCGTAACCGGAGAGGACGAAAAAAAAGAAAATGGGCGCGCGAAGCTAACCGAGCGTCGGGTGGGACCGCTCGCGGCTACATAAGCAAGCCTGTTTATTTTTCATCACTCTATAACCCAATCGGAAGCCTGTAAAAAGGCTAGTGTCTCCAGAGTCACCTTTCTTTATGCCAAGATCTCGCCGGCTAAGAAAAACAGGTGATTCTGGGGACGAAGATCGACTTGTATTCTCACGACAAACAAACTAGCAGACACGTGCCATGTCCGCTTTCCTCTAAACAGAAACGCCTTGAGTGCTATACTGCTTAGAACAATACTCGGTTGGGACTACTGTCTTAGTACAAAAGTCTCACAAAACCGCCACAATGTTAAATGTTTTGAAGTCGCATTCTTTCTCTCTTTCTTCATTTTTTTTTTTTTAAACAGCGGTTTGTTTTGTGAAACCAGCCTTTTGATATACCAACAAGTAATAAAAAGATCTGCCAAAAATTTGAATTCTCGGGCCTGTCCGGGAGTCGAACCCGGGACCTCTCGCACCCAAAGCGAGAATCATGCCCCTAGACCAACAGGCCTTCGAACGGTTTTGTCATCCAAGAAATGTCTTAAAATTAAAGGTACACTGAAGAACGCTGGGTAATGTAAATACAGGTGGTCATATTAAAAACGTTTTCTTTGCAGGTAGTGAAGACTGACAATTGGTCTCCTAACAACCTTTGTTTATACTACATTTGGAAAAAGAAGACTTATTCGTCAAACAATGACACGACTTCGTCTGTCTATTTGTTTTTAAATATTAATTTTTGTGCTTTACCTGCTAAAAGCATTCAGGCTATATCTTGTTCTATTTTATTTCTTTAATCGCTTTGCTCATTTTCCAAACAGTCGAGGAATACACAATCCGCGGATATCTTATGTAGCTTTGTTCATCACAAGTTTAAGAACTTCCAAACTCATAAATACGGTGCAACCTCCACTAACGGCCACATCTCCGCAACGACTACCTTTTTTGGTCCCGGAGGACGGTGCATACATTCAGTCTGATCTTATTTTAACCTCTCTAAAACGGCCATCTCTCCTCTCCTAGCTATTGATAAATTTCGTGGCCCCCTTCAATGTCTTCGTACACACGTTCACCTTCCGACGTGCATATTTAGTGCTTTTAACGGTCATATGACAGTAATATTTCTAACTATGATGCTGACTCACAGATTAATGAAGCCGTCATGGTGCAGTCTCTTGATCCGTGTCTTCCCGATATCTGATCAGGGTTCTTAGCAGGCGTGCAGTAAAGCATAACAGGCGCCATAAATTAAAGCGGGATCCGATTCGCCCGAGGGGGCAGGCCAACCTAGGGGGGTCCGAGGGTATGCTCCCCGGAAAATGTTGAAATTGTTGGTTGCTAAGAATGCATTTTCATGCATTTTTGGGGGACAAAGTGTTACGGAAAATGAGCTGTTTATGATCATGAAATTAGATGTAGCAAGTAGCGCTGTTTCACCTTTTTTTCAAAATTTAATGACCGGAACAGGTGGCTACATTCGATTTTACAGCCAGTAGAATTCCGCCGTTCTACTGAGAACACTGTCACTGATGTCAGTTGATATACCAGCAACTAACCATCCCAAGTGCTTGGAAACTGCAAAGTTACTTTTTTGAGTGCCAAATAGCCGTCCACCAAGTCTGTATGGGCATGTGACATTTAGTGAAGCCCCTTTTTGGGCTCTCACTTATGACTGATCCCCCCTTCTGTCATACTAAAAATCCAGTGATCCTCCCAAAATCCTCCTCCCCTGCTCCAGGCGATAAATAATGACCGGTCCCTTAATTAACAAATGAGGAGCGCTGCATACAAAACCACCTTTCTTATTGGAAAAGGTGCACCCCTTAGAAAAACAGCTGTCATATTACAGCCCTACCTCGCCAAAACGACCATCTCTTCTATAACGGCCCGCTTTTTCCTTTGTCCCCAAGACGGCCGACTGCAGTCGGAGGCATGTTTTGACATTTACGGTTCTGTTGTGCTATTATATTTTCGCGACTATAAATTATTGTGGGCACCAAAATTAAACTGTTCTGTGTCAAACGTCTCTTGGAATAAAGACACATAGAATCAAATGTACGTAAACGTTTAATAGCACGAGCTATCGTTTTATTATTGTCTAATTTCATGATTATCTTTACACTGCATTATATTTTTGTGTCAGCAATATGGAATGTTATTTACTACTTTTGTAAAAGTAACCTTATTGGTATTGATTTTTAAAATCAAGATTCGGAGTAACTGCTATAGCTAAGATATGCTGTAAATATATTTACCATTAATGTTTTTCTCGTGCAATTTTATCTAGGTGATGATAACTTTCGATTTCTTTGTGACTTTTCAAATTTATTAAGCAAATATTAAATACAATGTTTTGTCTTGTAAAGTTAGAATTGAGGGGCTGTGTATTAAGGATAACATGTTTAAATGATCCCAACTGGCCGTGGGCAGGGCAGTTGGCTATTTACAGGGGGGTTGATGAGTTTAGCTCGGCGCGACTACCTAAGACAAATTCCCGGGAGGCAAATCCAGCGGGTGGTGCTTGGACCCGGGCCTTCTAGATTACAACGCCAGCGCGCTAAATCACTCGGCCACGCCAGGTAGGCACTTGTTGTAGAACAACAGTGTAAAATAAAGACTGTGGCTTATCCTGGCCTCCAGTATCTTTGTTCAAGCTAACATTACACCTTGTGTGGCTTATAAACAGGTCGTACATGGTAAACACACGCTCAATATTTGCCCTGCTGTAGTGTCGTCATCTTTCTGTTGTCTTTTGTTGTTGCGCACTTCGCTGTTTCTGGGTGCTGTTTGCCCGTTTGTTGTACCGTTGCGTACCGTCATTGGTAATATATCAACACGGTTTTTGTTCTTATTCCTACGTTTGAGGAAAACGAGAAGCAGAAATACCAAACCAGTGACGAAGACACCCCCAAAGAAACTCCCCACTGCAATGCCAACTGAGCTAATTGAACTACTAGACCCTTCACCTTGTCCTGGTGAACGAAAAAATATGGTTTAGTTATTGAGTTCTTCATGACTCCTTTTAATGGTGTTCCTTCTGGGATAGGAATGAGTGAAATTCATAACTGGAGTACCAAAGTAAAACTCTGTAGCCATGCCCTCGCGGTCAAGGTACAGCTGCAGAGTGGTGCAACTTCTCTGAAACAATGCCACCCAGTCAAACAAACAAAAAACAAACAAACTAGAAAAAAATCCAATCAATCAAGCAAGCAAACAAACAAACAAACAAACAATCAGGCAATCAAACAAATGAACAAACAAGCAAGCAAACAAGCAATCGAGAAGAGAAACAAACAGACAATCCAAAAAATTAAAAAAAAAAACACAAAAAAATTAACTGATCAACCAGAAGGCCTGTGACGCCATATTAAATGTGGAAAGTAACATAAGTTAATAAATTTATGAAATTTATGGAACGAATGAATAAAATAGGTAAAGAAATAAATTTTTATTCGACATTGAGAACTGACCAGTGAATAAAGGTTGTCCAAGACTCAGATGGGCGGTTTAGGTATTCTTTGCAATACGTACGTATATGATTCTTAAACAGCTTACCTTTAGATGAAGAGTAACTTCTTGAGGTTGGCTGAGTGCCTTTTGTGGTTTGCTGCCCGTTGGAATTTGTCAGTACACTGTGTCTTGATTCAAGGGTGAAAGATGATACCGGGGTCACGTGGTCTGGATACGAACTTGGATGCGGTGTAGTCAAAACTCGTGAATCTTCTGCGGATTTGTTGATTATTGTCGTTGGTGAGGATGATGGCAACGATGAAATCGATAATGGCGTAGCAGATAATGATAATGACAGTGACGAGGACATTAATGATGTTGATGACAACGAGATTGGCGATGTTAAAGTTGCTGTTGATGGCGGCGATAATTTTGATAATGACCTTGCGACCAACATGGGCGATGATGGCAATAATGATGAGGTTGACGATGATAATGATGCAAGCAATGATATTGAATATGTTGCGACTGTTGGTGATGATTTTGTGGTCCTTGTTGATGGCGATGACGTTGTGATTGCTGATGATGACGATGTTCTAACCGTTGTTGATGGTGATGATGTTGTGATCGATGACAATGACGACGATTTTAAGATTGTTGATAATGAAAATGTTATGATTGTTTGTGGTGATGATGTTATGATTGTTGGTGATAACGATGATACTGTGATTGTTGATAATGAAGATGTTTTGATTGTTGGCGGTGTTGAAATTGGTGACGGTGGCGATGATGTAATTTTTGATGATGACCATGATGTTGCGATTGTTGTTGATGGTGATGCTGTTATAATTGTTGATGGTGACATGGATGTTGTGATAGTTGTTGATGGTGTCATGATTGTTGTTGTTGTTGTTGATGATAATGACGATGTTGTGATTGTTGATAATGAAGATGTTGTGATTGTTTGTGGTGTTGATGGTGACGATGATGTTGTGATTGATGATGATGGTGATGTTGATGGTCTTGTGATTGCTGTTGATGGTGATGGTGTTGTTATTGTTGATAATGAAGATGTTGTGATTGCTGTTGATGGTGTTGTGATTGTTGATAATGGTGATGATGTTGGGACTGTTGTTGATAATGAAGATATTGTAATTTCTGTTGACGGTGTTGTGATTGTTGATAATGGTGACGATGCTGTGATTGTCGATAATGGTGATGATGTATTGATTGTTGATGATAATGATGATGTATTGATTGTTGATGATAATGATGGTGTTGTGATTGTTGATAATGAAGATGTTGTGATTTCTGTTGACGGTGTTGTGATTGCTAATAATCGTGACGATGTTGTGATTGTTGATGATAAGGATGATATTGTTATTGTTGATAATGAAAATGTTGTGATTGCTGTTGATGGTGTTATGATTGTTGATAGTGGTGATGATGTTGAGATTGTTGATAACGATGATGTTGTGACTGCTGTTGATGGTGTTGTGATTGTTGATAATGGTGATGATGTTGTGATTGTTAATAAGAATGACGATGTTGAGATTGTTGATAATGATGATGTTGTGATTGTGATTGCTGTTGATGATGTTGAGATTGTTGATAATGAAGATGTTGTGATTGTTTGTGGTGTTGATGGTGACGATGATGTTGTGATTGATGATGATGGTGATGTTGATGGTCTTGTGATTGTTGTTGATGGTGATGGTGTTGTTATTGTTGATAATGAAAATGTTGTGATTGCTGTTGATGGTGTTGTGATTGTTGATAATGGTGATGATGTTGAGATTGTTGATAACGATGATGTTGTGACTGCTGTTGATGGTGTTGTGATTGTTGATAATGGTGATGATGTTGTGATTGTTAATAAGAATGATGATGTTGAGATTGTTTTTAATGGTGATAATGTTGTCATTGTTGATAATGAAGATGTTGGAATTGCTGTTGATGGCGTTGTGATTGTTGATGATGACAATGATGTTGTGATTGTTGATAAAGATTTTGTGATTGTTGATGATGATGGAGATGTTGTGACTGTTGATGGTGAAGCTGTTGTGTTTGTTTGTGGTGATTGTGCTGTGATTGTTGATGATGACGATGATGTTGTGAGTGTTGATAATGATGATGTTGTGACTGGTGATAGTGAAGATGTTGTGTTTGTTTGTGGGGATTGTGTTGTGATTGTTGATGATGACGATGATGTTGTGAGTGTTGATAATGATGATGTTGTGATTGTTGATAATGATGACGTTGTGACTGTTGATAGTGAAGATGTTGTGTTTGTTTGTGGTGAATGTGTTGTAATTGTTGATGATGACGATGATGCTCTGGTTGTTGATAATGATGATGTTGTCGTTGTTGATAATGAAGATGTTGTGATTGCTGTTGATGGTGTGGTGATTGTTGTTAATGGTGATGATATTGTCGTTGTTGATAATGAAGATGTTGGAATTGCTGTTGATGATGTTGTGATTGTTGATAACAAAGATGTTGTGATTGTTGTTGATGATGATGATGTTGTGACTGTTGATAGTGAAGATGTTGTGTTTGTTTTTGGTGATTGTGTTGTAATTGTTGACAATGGTGATGATGTTATGATTGTTGATAATGATGATGTTGTGACTGTTGATGGTGAAGATGTTGTGTTTGTTTTTGGTGATTGTGTTGTAATTGTTGATGGTGACGATGATGCTCTGATTGTTGATAATGATGATGTTGTGATCGTCGATGATGTTGATAACGTTATGATTGTTGTTGTTGATGATGATGCTGTGATTATTGATGATGGTGATAATGTTATGATCGCTATTGATGATGATAATGACGTTGATGTTGTGATTGTTGTTAATGATGATAATAACGCTGCGATTGGTGATGATGATGATGATTTCATTGGTAATGATGACAATGTTGTGATTGCTGATGATGATGACGTTGCGATTGGTGGTAATAATGATGCTGATGATGATAATGTGATTGGTGATGATCTTGATGTCGTGATTGGTGATGATGGTAACGATGCTGTGGCTGTTGTTGATGATGATGATATGATTGGTAATGACGATGATAAAGTTGTGATAATTGATGCTGCTGCTGATGAGTTTGCGATTGGTGATAATGATGACGATTCCCTGATTGATGACGCCGATGAAGATGTCGGCACTGGCGATTGTGACAAAGATCTTGTCATACAGGAGGATGACAATGATGGTGACGACGTTAGCAGTGATGATGCTGTTGTCCTGTGTGACAACAGCCGCAGTGAAGATGGTGTGATTTTTTCCGATAATGGAGACAACGTTGTCATCGTTGTTGTTGGCGATGGTGATGTTGGCAATAGCAGAGATGATGCCTCTACCTCGGATGATGTGAGCGTGAACGTTGCTGAAGTAAAACTCGCAGGTGTTACCTCGTTTTGTAAACTACTAAGAATTTGAGAAGTGGAGACAGTGACGGAGTTTGAGGTTGCGTCCACATAGCTAGTTGTCAAATCTGCTCCTGTAGACTGCGAGGACATGTTCTGGCTAGAGCTCAAGGCTAAAATACTCGACAAAACAATCAGCGCTGAAAATTAACACAGACATTAACAGGTTGTGGCTCCAAATTCAGCAGTTCTTTTTATTATTCAGGTGACATTCAAGACTGTGTTCGTAGAGATATTAAATAAGATCTCACCATAATTCTTATTATTTGCATTTGTTTTTAACTTTTATATCTACTTGTTGACGTGTGGAAATTGCTCTGCTTCGCGTTTCGCAAATCTGATGATTAATTGATGAATACTTTATCTCTCAGTGGGGCGCAAGATTTTAATTTCAAAATAACCCTGTACCTCTTAATTTTACCCAAGTATAATCTTTTCAAAATGTCTTTTTTCAAAGTATAGGAAAACATTTTCGGCGATTTAAGGCGATTTTGGAGACAAGCAGAGTAGAACTTAAACATTTGGTGAATATATAGGGAGAGGCAAGCGAGGTCTTTATTGTTAGTTAAATGAGCAAGTAAGCACTTAATAATTAATGAACATTATCAGCAACATACCACCAAGGAAGCATCGCAAAAGATATCAACAAGGAAGTATTTCGTTTCCTTCGCCACGTGAGGGAAAATTATTAAACAAGCTTCCTAAAGCAGTTTCTGTATTTCAATTCATGGTATTTAACGGAGTTTAGTCATGACATTTTGAGATTATTTTTGCTACGTACAAAATTAACTTTAATTTGAAGGAAAGCTTGAAAATAGTAGTCTGCTAAGATAAAAAAAAAAAACAAATAGATAATAATAAATATGATTAAGGATGGAGAAGATTCATACGGATTACAAACGGACGAACTTGAAAAATTTAGGGTAAACTTTTCAAGATGCAGAAACCTCGACGCAGCTCCTTTAATGTGACGAAGGTTGTGAACTATTATGCAAACCACCGAGGCCAGTGTTTTTACTCATTGAAACAATTCATCTAGCCGACAGAAATTAGCAAGCGGAAGCTGCTGTATAGTAAAACGCTACTCGCACGAAAAGATTTTTTTGCGCCTTGCAAACGCGCGTATTTACTTAGGCGGCAATGGCTACGAGAACGTCGCTAGCGACAGAAAACGAAAGATATTTCAACGGAAGTTTTCGTCGAGTGGTGCTATTTTGTTACGCCGTTTCATCAGGCAATTGAGACAAAGATACCTTCAATTTGGCGCAAATGTATTGATTGATTTCACAGGAAATATGGCATCTTACGAATTTGCTCGGTCAAAGACAGAAAGAAAGACAAAATCGTTGTATTTTCACGACTTCTCACGTTAATTCAATTTAAGCAAAGAATTGGAATCAAATATTGTTAACTTTTTCCTTCAAAAAAAAACAGTAGAAAATTTACTTTACTGCAAAATCTACTTTCCTCGTTCTTCGTCAACGAGCGAGAGCGGACAGTTTGACAATTTGTTATCGTAAAAAACAAATTGAAGTTTTCGTACGTCTGTCCCATTATTGACAATGAATTTCGTCAAAACAATGTCAAAATAGTCTGCGGATCCACAGCGACTTTGCTGACAATGTTATGACGAAATTCATGATTAATTTGTTAAATGTAAAATCAAAACCAAGGTAATCACTTTAGCCAATCACAAAGGTTCGCGCACAACACAATGAACTAATCAAAACTCGAAAAAATTACATGTAGCTGACGCTACAGAGCGCGGGAAAAATATGGCGAACGAATCACGATTGGTTAAGTTTGGTTTTGCTTCTGATTGGATGAAAAAGTGGCGCGAAGTTTTTAAGCCAATCGTGTAGCGTAGTGATGCAGACCATGCATGCAATTAATTTTCTACTTTCAAATGAAAATCGCTCTATACCGGAGACGACATATTTCCATGAAAAGATTTGACATCTATATCTAGCTGATACTGGCGAGTTAGAGAAAAACGAGTGTTTTCATTTATGCAAAACAAACGATTCAAAAGGCAATGAATGATAAATACTCAACAATACTCAACAGCGATACTTAAAAACAACAACAACAAGAACAACAACAACAACAACGAGCACACAAAGAAGACAAATGAAACCTTACCGTCCAAATTCAAAATCCCATATCGAGTTATGCAACGTGATAGAACCAGTTGAATCACCATTTACACCAATAAGATTTACATAAACACGAGCGCCAGTACCGGCAAAAGCCACCCGGGATGTGCTCACTTTTATCACATAGTTTGAAGGTAAAACAAAACTTTCTCGGAAAAAAATTGTTAGAGAAAAGACACGTACGCGTCACGTGTTTCCTTATGCAAACATAAGACCCGTCCTCACTACGACGGAGAAATTTGAAAACGGAACAATCACAGGTCAGTTTGGTAAGTTGTGTTTGATGTCATCGTGTTTTCAAAATGTTTTCCGTCCTCACTAAAACGCAAAGCCAACGTTTTCAAATTGCTCCAGTTTGAAGAGCGTTTTCGAAAAGCTCCGGTTTTCGTGACGGATCGTTGTGGACGGTTGGCCTAACCATAGAAATAAAACTGCGTTTTTCAAATTTCTCCGGCGTGATGCGGACCGGGCCTGAAAGAAATGTTGGGAGAATTTGAATTCGAATTCGATAAAGTGACAGTCCCTATTTGAAGGAACAAACGTACCAATGACGTTATAAACTTGTTTGCGGTTAGACGAGCAATTAGAAAGCACTCTATATAATTTAGTTTATATAAAAGAGAATCAAAATTATTGTCCACGATCTGTGTCCAAACGAACCACAGCGAAAAAAAGGCAAGAGATACCGTCGTTTT